ATCCTTTCTGGGATTTGTCCCTTCCCATACCACAAAGATCTGGCCAAGTGAGTTTGTCACATTGCTTGGATTCTTTCACAAGAGAGGAAACTCTGGATGGAGATGAAAAACCAATGTGTTCGAGGTGCAAGCAAAGGAGAAAATGTACAAAGTCCTTATCAATCTATAAGTTTCCCCGTATTTTAGTAATTCATTTGAAAAGATTCTCTCCGACGGAAAGGTTCAGTGGCAAATTGAATGTTTCCATTGACTTTTCTTCAGATGGATTAGATATGAGCAGTTATGCAGCAGACAATGTGGCTCCTTGTCATTATAATCTATATGCACTTTCAAATCACAGTGGGACAACTTACAACGGACATTACACAACATATTGCAGACACCCATATAGTGGCACATGGCATGAATACATGGCACATGTGGCACATGGCATGAATTGTGAGCATTGAGGCATATGTCCTCTTTTATGAACAGGAGGGAACGAAGCAGCACCTTTGATGTGTTTTTTTTTTGTTTTTTTTTTTCTTCTTTCCTTTTTTTTCTTCTTTCCTTTTTTTTTAATAATCTTAGTTCTTTGAATTGATTTGTATTTCTAGTTGTGTCACAATATATATCTGAAAAATAAACAAAACTGAATAAACAGAGAACTTCAATACAGTGTGGTATCACTAAAGAAATCATCTTGATATTCATATTGTCAATACCTAAAGCATTAGATTTTATTTCTTTGATAGCAGTCAAAATATTATCATCACATATATCGGTGAGAGAAAAGTTCATAGGAGTGTTCAATTTATTATTATTGTAGAATGAAAGAGTGTTATTATTTACTATTGATTGTCCAGCCACGTTTAAAAAATAGTCATTGATTTTGAATTGAATTGTTTTTATTTCTGTTCAAAACAGATTGTATATATAAATATTTATTGAGATATGGAGCTGCAAAAACACATGTTTCCGAATAGAGAGGATTGAATCCTCAGGGAGGAAGAGTAAAGATATCTTTTGGTTCACAGGACAATCAAAAATTTTGTTTTACTCTGAAAAAAACTTCCAATTTTAAAATTAGTTCCTTGCATGATTCACACATCTTTGGAGGATTCCCACATTTTTTTGCACACAAATGATCAAGTAGAAAACCAAAACCTTGCTTTCCCAATTTGGGGAAAATTTTTGAATCCTGAAAACTTCGCCAGTACGTTCAAGCAGTATGTTATCCAAAAAAAGCATCGTTCGTTGAAGTGTGAAAATGAAATCTACTAGATATCCAAACGTTAATCGCATTTGTTGAAATCTTCCTGCACGTATTGATATGATCGTTAATTCTGCGCAAGCGCCCGAGCAACAGATCGCCTGTTTCCATTTTTCCTTGGCTTTCCCAGTTCCGAAAGCAACTGTAGAGGTGAATATAATTATGGAGGTGAAAGCCTGCCGATGCAAATATGCGCTGTGAAGTGAAAAGTTCGAGGCTCACCTGCGAATTTTGAAAATATTCCGCATCTTTCCCTCCTCCCAGCTGACCGCTTGATTAAGTTTTTCTTCGAGAAGTTTTTAAATCTGCTCAACAGGTAAAGTGCCATCGATTTTTTCTTAACAAATGTCTTCGCAATCTCTCCTCCCTTGCTTTCGGCTGAAGGAAAACTTGTTGATTATGATTTAGGGGGGTTGTAGTTTGGCCAGGGGATGAATTTTTTACGTAATTTGTTTATTAAAAATCCCTGAAACAACTAAAAAAGAAGAATTTTTAATTCTTATATAGTAGACAATGGAAGTCCGAAGTAGTGAAATTCACCATGAAACATTGTCAATCACCTTCAACAGAGAGTCCTTCAACAGAAAAACTTAAGGAAAGGAGAAAACTATTATTAGGATAAACTATATTCTATAGAAGTAGGTAGGTACCTACTCCTCCGGCATACCTTATAGAACAATTAGCTTGTTATATTTCTGTCTATTAATTTCAGGGATGGCGTCATTATTACATGGCCGAGTCCCACTTAATTTCGAACAGTCTAATTCTTCTATCAGGAGGCCTTTGGCGTTTCAAGTTAACGCTTTCATTGGCAAGTTTTTTATTTCGTTTCAATTTCTCTTTCTCTATCCTCCTTTTCCTTTGTGTTGATGTTTCTTTATTTCCCATAGTGTTCCCACGAGTACCGAAGAAATATTTGTCAATCCTCCCAGAGCTTCGTTTAGGAGGGTAAGAGATAATATACAACAGGTTGCGCTCCGTTGCCCTGAGGTGGTACCTTCACAGCATCATTTTACACCATGATGCCACTCAGTCCTCAGTATTTCATGGTGAGCCTATCAACTGCCCATCATAAACGAATGCGTATACAAAATTTCGTGTCCCTGCTATGTACCGCTGAGGAGATCTCTCGTACGGAGCCGATCCTGGCAGCAGCATCAGGTCACGCTTATGATTAACATGCATCGTCATCGGTTCTGGACCAGCATGCAAAATTTCAGATCAATCGGATACCGGGAAGTGGGTAAAATTAAACTTGCAAGATTTGTTAACATACATACAAGTCAAGTTAAATAAAAGCTTTTGAATAAAAATGATGACATGCTCTGGGGGTGCGATAGGGAAAGTTAGATCATATGTAAATATGTCAAAATATGTCCCCCTCAATACCATTGTTGAGGTGGTTTTTTATTTTTCCTAAAAATCATTGTTCCAAAAGTTATTCAGGGTGGCTCGTGTTCAACAAAATAATTTGTAGCTCTCGAACTATAAGCTTCAGACCATATGTTTTATACTTTGTCGGAATCTGCTCATCATGGAGCATCTGATAATGCGAAACAATATAGGGCGATCCAATAAAACAAATTGGTGACATGCTCTGAGGTCGTGATATGAGAAGTAACATCAAATGTGAATATGTCAAAATGTGCCACCCTGTATACTACGGTTGAGGTGTTTTTTTATTTTTCCTGCAAATCATTGCATCAAAAGTTATTCAGGGTGGCGCGTTTTAAATGGAATGCACCGTATAACTGAATAAATGCGAGGTAGAAAGTTCTTTCAACATTCAGCTGGATCGCCAGAAACTACACAGGCAAAATCTTTCACTTTTCTCATTCTTCGTATCGTTTTCTTATATTATTCAGGAATGCTTTGCGGTGAATTACACCTCCTTTGAAGAAATATGTTTCATTTGTTTATCGCGTTGCTGAATCATTTGAAGCTTGCGCAATTATGAAATTTTCATTTTTTCTTGCTATCAAAGGAAGTGGTTTATTTCTCATCAAAGTCAGTGTCTGTTAACATACTTCAGTGAGAGGCCGCTGTAAAAATATTTACTTTCTGCGTTTATTTTCTTAGGTGAGTTAATATAAAATGTTTGCATTAATTTTCAAATTGCGTTTGGTTTAATGTAATTTTGGGTTATCTTCGAAGTGAACAGAGTGATTCATGAAAATGTTCAGACAGTTGGATTGATCGGGCTGTTACAAAAAACTCTCAGTTATCTGTCAAGCTTTCGGTAAATTTATTACCTTCGCAGGACAACTAAAATGCAAGAAACTTTTTTATAAAGATACTAGCCCCATTTTAAACAAGTAGTAACAATATTTTTTATCAACCCAAAACTACAGGTTCCCAACTTCAACACTGACGGAATTCAATACAATCTGAGAGCCCTTATTTTTCCTCCCTGCATATTTCAAGTTTCTAGGTTCAGTAGCTTCGGTTGTACGTTGATATAAGAGCCGATAACAGCTAGTAATTTACATTATTACAGATGCCGGACAATCTCTTCCTGCCCGCGAGCTACATCGTGATGGTGGAATCCGAACCCGACCTCACCACCTTCGAAAACAAATCCGGCCTGGCTGAAGACATGAAGTTCCTTGCGTCCATGCCGGAACTTTGTGACGTCACTTTCCTCGTCGGAGACACCAGAGAACCCGTCTGCGCCGTCAAGGCCGTCCTTGCTGCCCGATCCCGAGTTTTCCATAAGATGCTGTATCAGGTAAGTCGACAGCAAAAAAGACCATAGCCAAGCTGCCAATACAATGGAAGATTCCAGAAAAGGAGTGCCTCCAGCCTGCCTGCAATTCATGTTCTTTTATTTAATCAACATCATCGTGGTTATCGTTGACGTCGTTGTCATCATCATCACTATCGTTCATTTCATTTGAATTATAGTTTACGCGATTGCAATCCTGTTCTGGGGTCGATTAGTCTTATTCTTCTCTATATTTGGTTTTTGGTTTATTATCCGTACTCTGTATCTATATTTTTATATTTCTGCATAACTCTTACCATTGATTTGTTCTAGTGCTTTTAGGTTTTTTCTATGCCGTCCTTCGTTCGTGTTCTCGATCTTCCTCGACTTTTTCTTTGGATTGATGTCTATCTCATCACTTGTTATATCCAATCTAAATGTTATATCTATCTCTCACGATATTTTCTTACCTTAGCTCCGTCCCTACTTCTTTCTTTGTATTTCGTTTTTTTTCTTCCCGGGATAATGTCAGATTTCGAAATTATTGTAATTGTTTTTATTTCCACTCTCCTTGAGATTCCTTCCTCTTTCAAATTCATTGCTGTGGTTTTCATCGAATTCGATGACTGAGTTAATCATTGTTTGTGTTTTCAACATTCATCTTCTCCTCCTGAAGGTTTGGTTTCCTCTGATAATTTTTTCCCTTTTTCCGATTATCATTCAAGGTAGTTGGAAGTCTTAACCTTTTCAAATCTGAGATTTCAGTTTTTAGACGGTTCTCTTTGTTTTCTTGTTATTCATCAGCTCCCAAATATTTTGTTCATATACAGTGCTTTTCAGATAAAAGTATCCACCTTTAATAACTTTTGTAATACTGGTATTTAGGAAAAATCCAAAAACACGTCAATTTATGTTGGAAGGGGCAAGCATTATGGCTTATTTAAACTTACTGGAAAAGCCACCCCCTCACCCCTAGCATCATCCCTTTTTTT